TTTTCGTTTCCATAAACATGTTGCGTGATGGTGCATATATATCTGAACCATAAACAGAGGCAGTCTCATTGTACTGGCTGAAGGTTTCTTCTTGATAACTCTCATCTTCTGATATGTATGATCGATCATCATTTGAATAGTAAGATTGTTCATCAGGACTTTTTTGTGGTAAGGAATGATGACCAATTTCACTAAAATCTTGTTTTGAAATTCGTGATGATTCATCTTCATGTTTTTTATTATTAATAATACGACTAGTTTTCTTGCTTTTCTTTTTTCTTTCTTCGACATCCATACTTCTCAAATTATCCTCTAAATTACGCCAAGCATTCTCACTCAAATAAGTTTTTTGATTCCCAACAATCATATCAATGTGATCCCAACCAAAAATAGTACATGATGCTTCAACTTTAGCTTTTGGATCACGGGACTGGTTTATATTCATTGAATCCAATATAGGCTGATATCTTTCCAAAAATTCTTCGTGTGTTAAACTAATGGTGTAATTAATTTTTAATCGATTTGTTATTTCTGATAAACCAAGAGATTTTACTTGTGATAGTAGAACTTTTGAGTCAATCTGGTTTGGAAGCTGTGTGTCATTTGGACGAATGCAAAATATGAATAAAGGAGTTGTTTCATATAAAGTTTCACATAGTTCATCCAAAGCTGATTGAACTTGGGCTGTAACACAGTTTACAGTTTTTTTTGATGTGTCATCGACATCATCAACTGTGGTATTTTCATTTGTGATTGGTGAACCTTTTTTGCTTTTTTTACGACGCATTGAAGGGGATCTCATAGGTTTGACAGATTGTTGAGCAGCAACTATGGTGTTATCATTTTGTGGATGTGACTCTGTTGCAACAGATTTATCAGTAAAAAGACCGACAATGAAACTATTGTAGGAAGGAGGTGCTTCACCATTGCCACGGAACAAAGAAACAAAATCACCACTTAGATTATCAAGATTTTTTTCCATAAAACCGGTAATATCATATGTGACTTGCGATGTGTAATGTTGTATGCCAAATCTCGGTAGAGCGTTTAAACTTTTTGCAGTGGCGGTGTAGGAGTTATGTTTAGAATATTTTTTTGTTGAAAGCATCCAGCATTGATTGATCTGTTTTGCGAGATGATTTGTTTGCTTGATCGTTCATTATAGCTACCAGACCAGTTGAAGGTTTGTCCAACATTTTCAAACATTCAGAGTTGTCAAAATAGGGTACCTCAGATATAACAACATCACCAATTCCTTGATCTACATATTCGGCATTATTCACTTCAAAAATTTGTTGTAAAGTGAAATTATAAATTTTTTCATTTGCAAAATTAACACAGAATTGATCCAAGGAATTGGTTGATGCATTTTGAAAACCAATTAGATCGACAATACCGATGAAGCTGGCAAAATCTTCACGACAAATTTTAGTGTTGATGTATTCGACTATCCAACTAAACAGTAAGGAATAAAGAGCTTTTGCCAATTCATCTCTTTGTACGGATGCAGCTTCAATATCCAGAAAAATTGTGCATATTTCTTTTTTGATTAATTTTGTTTTATAAGTAAGAGCAGATTCTAAAGCACGAGGCTCTACACCTAGAAAGTCAGCAACCAAATCCAAAACGTCCATATTTTTAACAAAGGCAGCATCTTGTTGTTTATTAGGATCTTGGGAAAATTGAATATTTCCAAGATGCAATATAGCAGCCAGTAGTTGGAACATTTGAGCAACATGTTTTTTATGAAAACCTAAAGATTTTAATGATTGTTTTAATTCATTGAATTTATTTGCTTCATCAGCATTAATGTTATTGTAGACTTTTGAAGTTGATTTTGATAGATTGAGATAACGATATTGTGAGGCATCAGTTGTCGTTAGATGTAGATGAGACTTTTCATCATTTGAAGCACCGGCAATCAGATAATAAAATACATGAAAATTCCTTATGAAGATGTTAAGATAGGTTTTTTGACACAAGAAGCATACCATGATTCCAGCAATAGAAGGCTATTTTATTGGATCGAGTTT